TTCTCTCGTTCGATATCTTGGGGAAGTTTGATATTTTGGCCTTTTCATGTGTATCAATCTAGCATACGAACTATATACACGTATTGATATTAACTATATAGTTTAAATAGAAATTCATGTATAGGCTTTTTGTACTCGAGGTCGAAGAACATCAAAACTTGGATGTTCGGGCAGGTGACAAGCCTGTTGAATTGGTTTCTCTCGTTCGATATCTTGGGGAAGTTTGATATTTTGGCCTTTTCATGTGTATCAATCTAGCATACGAACTATATACACGTATTGATATTAACTATATAGTTTAAATAGAAATTCATGTATAGGCTTTTTGTACTCGAGGTCGAAGAACATCAAAACTTGGATGTTCGGGCAGGTGACAAGCCTGTTGAATTGGTTTCTCTCGTTCGATATCTTGGGGAAGTTTGATATTTTGGCCTTTTCATGTGTATCAATCTAGCATACGAACTATATACACGTATTGATATTAACTATATAGTTTAAATAGAAATTCATGTATAGGCTTTTTGTACTCGAGGTCGAAGAACATCAAAACTTGGATGTTCGGGCAGGTGACAAGCCTGTTGAATTGGTTTCTCGTTCAATATCTTGGGGAAGTCTAATATTTTGGCCTTTTTGTGTGTATCGATCTAGCATACGAAATACATATACATATCGATATTAACTCTATAGTTAGTCTTTTTCATGGATAGTTTTTAACCACGTTACAAACACAAGTGTTGAATATTTTTCTACAAAAACGAACTTAAACAAGATCAATAATATAAATTTGAGTGAATTCAAGAAATTAATTATTTAAAAAAATTGGATATCGCTCAACTTAAATAATAAAGGGTAAATTTGTAGTTTTATCTTCCATGTTAAATTGATAGGTTGCACAATTTTTTTTTTTTTAATGTTAAATTACTAAAAATACTAGTAAATTTTGTACTTTTTCTCCAAAATAATAATAATAATAATAAATAAATAATAATAATAATAAATATTTTTAGTATTAATTTTGAATTCGTTACTATTTTGTTTAAAAAATATTTTTTTAAAAGAGTTTCATTAATATCCCAAAATTTTTAAAAAATTTAAAAATATTTTTAATACTATGTTTAAAACATAACTCATGAAAATTTTAAAATAATATTAATATTTTTAAATTTTATAAAAAAAAGTTCACAAATTTTTTTAATATTACTCTTAGAAAAATCATGAATATAACTGTAAAAGTAAATTTGATTTTTAAAAAATAAATTAAAAATGTTTTAGAAATTTTTTATTTTGTTGGTTAGATTTTATTTTAAATTTAAGTGTATTATTGAAAATGGAAAGTTTAAAAATATTATTATTATTATTAATGGGTATTTTGTCCAAAACCATTATTTTGGAATTAATTTCTGAAATACATTTGTCTCAGGGTTTACACGATCCGTTGGTTGAAATGGGCAGCCAGCGATGAGTTTTGAGTTTGGTTTTTGGGTTTCATCATCACTGTAATGCTCTGTTTCAAATCCTATCTTCTCAGACGCCAAACACAAGCTGGGGGAAGAATCATCACTTTCTTTCACCTACATTGTTGAAGAAGGTGTTGTAAAATGAGATGGATGAATCCGTGCAGCGGAGGCTTTGCTTCTACTGCTTTTCTGAAACTTACCCATTCCGTTTCTCAAGTTTCCATGGCACAAAAAATCATTCCATTCAACTTGTCTGAGCATCAGCTGTTCAAATCATGTCGCTACCACTCTTCAAATGATGATTCGTCCAATACCCTTCATGCCAAGATGGTAAAAAATGGTTCTATTTTGTATTTAGGAAAGTTGGTTATGAGTTCCTATGTGAAATCTGAGAAATTAGACGATGCACAGAAAGTGTTCGACGAAATGCCCCACAGAGATGTACTTTCATGGACGGTACTTATATCGGGTTTTGCTAGAGTAAATTGTTCTGAAAGGGCATTGCAACTGTTTAGAGAAATGCTGGTTGAAGGGGTTTGTCCAAATCATTTTACTTTGTCTTGTGTTCTTAAACTTTGTTCTAGAGTTGGTGATTTGCAAATGGGAAAGGGGATTCATGGATGGATTCTTAGAAGTGGGGTTAATTTAGATGTTGTCTTGGAGAATTCTATGCTTGATTTGTATGCAAAGTTTGATGCATTTGATTATGCCACAAAATTGTTTGATTCAATGAGAGAAAAGAGTACTGCTAGTTACAATATCATGCTTGGTGTGTATGTCCGTAGTTGTGATGTTAACAAATCTCTTGATTTATTCAGAAACTTGCCTTGCAGAGATACAGCGAGTTGGAATACGATTATATGTGGGCTAATGCAAGGTGGGTATCTAAATATAGCAATGGAGCTACTTTATGAGATGGTGAAGAACGAACCCGAGTTTAACGAAGTTACTTCTTCCATAGCTTTAAGTGTGGTTTCTTCTTTACTGATTATTGAGCTAGGTAGACAAGTACATGGCCGAATTTTCAGGTTCGGGTTGCATAATGATGGATTTGTAAATAGTTCATTGATAAATATGTATATTAAGTGTGGAAATTTGGAAAAAGCATCGGTTATATACAGTCAAATGCCTTCAAATTTTGGGAAGAGACGAGATTCGAACATTGTATGTAGCAACACGATGACAGAAATTGTTTCTCGGAGCTCAATAGTGTCTGGTTATGTTCAAAATGGCAAGTATGAAGATTCCTTCCAAACTTTTGTTTCTATGGTCCGTGAACGAGCTGTGATGGACAGATTTACCATTGCAAGCATCATATCGGCGTGTTCTAATGCTGGCGTTTTAGAGCTTGGACGTCAAATCCATGCTTATATTCAGAAAACTGGGGAACAGCTTGATGCTCACCTGGCTTCCTCCATGATTGACATGTACGCTAAAGGTGGGAGTTTGGATTGTGCCCATCAAGTTTTTGAGCAAACGACTTACTTAAATGTTGTGACATGGACTTCCATGATTACTGGATGTGCTTTGCACGGTCAAGGTAAGGAAGCCATTCGACTGTTTGAACAGATGAGATATGAGGGAATCATACCAAATGAGGTTACTTTTATAGGAGTTTTAACAGCTTGCAGTCATGCAGGGCTGCTCGATGAAGGCCGTCTATATTTTAACATGATGAAAGATGTTTATGCAATCGAGCCGAAGGTTGAGCATTTCACTTGTATGGTAGATCTTTACGGTCGAGCTGGACGCTTGAATGAAGTCAAAGAGTTCATCTACCAGAATGATTTATCACACCATAGTGCAGTTTGGAAGGCATTTCTATCGTCTTGTCGGCTTTACAAGGACATCGAAATGGGAAATTGGGTTTCTGAGAAGTTGTTTAAACTCGAACCACGAGATGAAGGGCCGTATGTTTTACTATCAAACATGTGCTCCAGCAATCAAAAGTGGGAAGAAGCTTCCAAAACAAGAAGATCTATGCAACACAGAGGGATTAGCAAAACACCTGGCCAATCTTGGATTCATGTGAAAAACCAAGTCCACTCTTTCGTTGCGGGAGACCGATTGCACCTTCAACACGCTCAGATATATGCATATCTGGACAAGCTAATTGGAAGATTGAAGGAAATTGGGTACTCGTGCGATGTAAAATTGGTGATGCAGGATGTTGAAGAAGAACAGGGTGAAGTGCTTCTTGGTTGGCATAGTGAAAAGCTTGCAGTTGCTTATGGCATTATCAATTTGGCTTCTGGCATTCCAATCCGCATCATGAAGAACCTTCGGGTATGTACTGATTGTCATAACTTTATGAAGCTAACATCTCAGCTTTTAGATAGGGAGATCATTGTTCGAGATATTCATCGTTTCCATCATTTTAACTCGGGTCATTGTTCTTGTGGTGATTATTGGTGAGCTGAGATAGAGATTCTGATACATGTGAATGTTCATGCATAAAATTACCCTGCTTTGCTTAGAATCCTGTAGCATTGTTGGTGGAAACAAGGCAAATATCCATTGGAAGAAGCCGAAGTCTTTAACATTTTGCTTCTTAGTTTGCAAAAGCTTACCTGGTGAAATGATTCAGAACTTTCACTACTCTATTTTCCATTAAGAAAAGAGAGTGAATTGGCGATGCGCAATGGCTCAGTCTTACAAACCACCTCAACAGAGATTTAAAACACGACACGTTTAATGGAGACGGATTGTTTACACCTTCAAATGTTGTCACGCATGGTAAGATTCAATGGTAGACTTTTGAGAATACTTTTGTGAGATCCCACATTGGTTGGAGAGGGGAACAAAGCATTCCTTATAAGTGTGTGGAAACCTCTCCCTAACAGACGCGTTTTAAAACCTTGAGGGGAAGCCCGAAAGGGAAAACCCAAAGAGGACATATCTGCTAGTGGTAGGCTTGGACTGTTACAAATGGTATCAGAGGCAGGCACCGAACGGTGTGCTAGCGAGGACGTTGGGCCCTTAAGGTGTTGGATTGTGAGATCCCACATCGGTTGGAGAGGGGAGCAAAGAATTCCTTATAAAGGTGTGGAAACCTCTCCTTAACCTTGAGGGGAAGCCTAAAAGGGAAAAGCCCAAAAAGAACAATATTTGCTAGCAGTGGGTTTAGGCTGTTACAAATGGTCTCAAAGCTAGACACCAAGCGGTGTGCCAACGAGGACGTTGGGCCCTTAAGGTGTTGGATTGTGAGATCCCACGTCACTTGGAGAGGGGAACAAAGAATTCCTTATAAGGGTGTGGAAACCTCTTCTTAACAGACGCGTTTTAAAACTTTGAGGAGAAACCGAAAAGGAAAGCCCAAAGAGGACAATATTTGCTAGCGGTGGGCTTAGGCTGTTACAACTTTTCTACGTGTGGTCTCGAAGAAAGTGCTTAAAATTGGTTTTATGTGATCTAAAATTATCATAGGCAATTCAATTAAAAGCACTTTCTAGTATGCTGATAATGTTCTCCCTCCAATTTACAGTGCAGCCACTGAAGCTATATAGTTTGTGAAGAAACAAATGGAACATGAGAACACAACAGTTTCAAAAGGGAAATCAATATGCAATGACAAAGGATCTAACAAAGAGGTTTGAAATGAAATATACAATTTTATGTTTCCTTAACACAGACATGGAAGTTGCATTGCAGAAACAGAAAAATGATGCAAAATCTACTTGACGAAGTAAGGAAGGTCCAAGACATAGAGGAGGAAGTACGCCCAGATCACGCCGGAGATCCCGCCAAAGAAGAACCCGCCAGAGAATTTTGCCCACCCGTCAGCTGTTTGCAGCTGATCCGGGGTCTTCTTCCGACCGGTCAAGGTCAACGACGGTGCAGTGGATGGCTCTCCTTCATTGAAGGATGCAACTCCATACATTGTCAAGCAGATGCTCAAAATGACAATGAGGCCGCCAGCGGCCAGCGAGCCAGCTCCTCCGGCGTAGGCTGTGTTCCTCAGAGGACCAGCTTTAACAAACGGACCGACGAGAAAAAAACCATGTGCCAAACCGACTTCAATTCCCCTCAGCAATGGACTGACTGCTGTCCTGTAAGCTGGGAGGTTTGAGAGGTACCAGGCTATCAGAGGGCTTGAGGTTACTGGAGTCTCAAGGCTTCCAATGAAGGGGTCTCCATTGATGGGCTGAATCACTTGGTAAGTTGGCTGCAACAGTTTCAATAGGTTATTAACATGTGGAAGTGTTCTTCAAAGAAGAATAACATTTTTTTTAAAAGCCAACACACTTTTTACGAATGATTGAATTCGGCTAGTAATAACGACTCTCCACAATGGTATGAGATTGTCCACTTTGAGCCTAAGCTCTCATGACTTTGCTTTGGGTTTCCCCAAAAAGCCTCATATCAATGGAGACGTAGTCCTTGCTTATAAACCCATAATCAACCTCTTAATTAGCCGATGTGGGACTCCTCTCCCAACAATACTCCCCTCGAACAAAGTACACCATAGAGCCTCCCTTGTGGCCTATGGAGCCCTCAAATAGTCTCCTCTTAATCGAGGCTCGACTCCTTCTCTGGAGCCCTCGAACAAAGTACACCCTTTGTTTGACATTTGAGGATTCTATTGACATGGCTAAGTTAAGAGTATGGCTCTAATACCATGTTAGGAATCACGCTCTCCACAATGGTATGATATTGTCCACTTTGAGCATAAGCTCTCGTGGCTTTGCTATGGGCTTCCTCAAAATGCCTCATACTAATGGAGATGTAGGTCCTACTAATTAGCTGACGTGGGACTCCTCTCCCAACAATCCTCAACAAATTCTTACTCAACTCGTAGAGATCTTTAAGTTTGTATTCATTGAAATAGTACAGTATATATATCTCGAAAGCTGAAAGAGAGGGGAATTATGCATTGGGTTACCTTATCAGCTTGTATGGCTCTGATGGTGAAGGAGTGTGTTCTTGCAGGTATGCGTCGGAGCGGCGAGACGGAGAGGCCTTTGGGAGCGATCAAAGCTCTAGTGTTCGATGAAGTAAAGGCGGAACTGAGCTGGCTGGCAATGGGGGAGGTTGCACTGGCCATGGCTGCTGCTTCTGCTGCCTTTGGTTTGTGAAAGGATCAATGGCAGAGAAGGAGAAGAATGAGGTGAGGATTTTAGATTTGGCTTTGGGTGTTGGTTTATTGTTAGTGGCCATGGAAATTTGTGGGAGGCTTTGGTTGATCAACCCTCTCTCTTCTCATTGGATGGAACTTGCCACGTAATCTTATCCCTTATCCATATTTTTTTAATTATTTATTTATAATAATATATCCATCCGAATTAAATAGGTCTCCAATAACTTCTAAGTTTTTGGAATATAAGTTTTAAAAATAAATAAATAGATTTTTTACAAATTAATATTTTACTTAAACTTTAAGTTAGTAAATAAAACTTTAAAAAATCAAGTCGACGTTAGAGTGAGAGGATGAAAACCTTCTTCAATTTTAGGTTATGGAAAATAATCGAGCCTCAATTAAGGGGAGGCGTACTTTGTTCGAGGGGAGGTGTTGGATGAAAGTCCTACATCAGCTAATTTAGGGCATGATAATGGGTTTAATCAAGGAATACTCTCTCCATCGGTTTGGGTCGTTTGGAGAAGCCCAAAGTAAAGACACGAGAGCTTATGCTCAAAGTGGACAATGTTATACCATTATTGACCTCCAATCACTTATTAATTGTGGCGGATAGATTAGTATTATTGGTTTAATGGAAATGACAATAAAATGTCAAGAATCTCAATGTTATGGAAATGTTAATGGACATATCGATAAATTGTCAGTATCTAAGGCTGTGTTTTAGTTAAGTAACATTGCGTTGCCTTTATTTGTTTCAAGTTTTAAGTTTTTGTCTATTACTTCTATAGTTTTCATTTTCAAAATGATCATAGCTTATTTCAACAACGGGTATACTATTCCTCTCAAAATCAACATCGAACAACGATAGTGGAATATACCCTTTTGCTTCATACTCGATGGCATGCATTTTACAAACATTCTAATACATTGTTTTATATAAGTTCCATGCATGATTATCATGCATCCTAATAATGGTGAGTCTCTTTTGCTCAATCATATGTTTCACGTTCTACCTCAGCATGTGAAACTCATTGTAACAGTCCAAGCCCACAGGAGAAGGACGAAGCATTCTTTATAAGGGTGTAGAAACCTTTTCCTAGCAGATATGTTTTAAAAACCTTAAGCAGAAAATCAAAAGGGATATCTCAAGAGAAACCCATTCTTTATAAGGGTGTAGAATCCTTTCACTAGCAGACATGTTTTAAAAACCTTAAGCAGAAACCCAAAAGGGAAATCCCAAGAGAAACCCAGAAGGGAAATCCCGAAGAAACTCAGGAGAAACCCAGAAGGGAAATCCCGAAGAAACCCAAGAGAAACCCAGAAGGGAAATCTCGAAGAAACTTAGGAGAAACCCAGAAGGAAAATCCCGAAGAAACTCAAGAGAAACCCAGAAGGGAAATCCCGAAGAAACCCAAGAGAAACCCAGAAGGGAAATCTCGAAGAAACTTAAGAGAAACCCAGAAGGAAAATCCCGAAGAAACTCAAGAGAAACCCAGAAGGGAAATCCCGAAGAAACCCAAGAGAAACCCAGAAGAGAAATCCCGAAGAAACTCAGGAGAAACCCAGAAGAGAAATCCCGAAGAAACCCAAGAGAAACCCAGAAGGAAAATCCCGAAGAAAACAATATCATGCCACAATGTTGTTGTTTACCGAGAGAAATGGTAGTATCTTATTTGCTCCAATACTCTCGATGCATGGATGGTACAAATGAATCCAAGGCTCTTGTTGATGCATGTGCATCAGTTCCCCATTTTACATGTCAAAACTCCAAAAACTCGACTCAACTGGTTATCGCTCACATTCTTTATTTGTACTATTCATTTTCGCATTATCTTCTTGCTTCAACTTCTCCACTACTGTCGTTATCCATAGTTAAACTTTGTTATCCATAGTTAAACTTTCGAGACGTCGGGACGTTCAAAGAGGAATCAAATCAAACTATTTTGCAAAGGTAAAGGCTCAATGGCCAAGGAAAATTCACTCAAAAGTTTATAATTTCAACTTACATTCAATGAAATCTATTGTTTTCAATGTACAAAATCCAAATTAGATAGAACCAAAGGATATAAATCCAATTTTGGGTTTATTGAATTTGAAACCAAAGGTTCTCTCTCTCTCTCTACACTAAACCTTTAAATAGAATGTTGATTCGAAGGAACGCCCCACTTCCCTTCCCTTCCCGTTCTTTCCTCTCGAAGTTAGAACTTAGAATCACGAGGCTAAAAGAAGCATGTACAAGAAAGAACTTGATACTGATACCGATACTGATATCAACAGCTCGTATTTACACCAGTTGATTAATGCCGCCACCCTAAGTTCAGTCGAATCAAAATACTGAACCAACAATGAAGAATCATCTGCGATGACTTTGAATCTCTTCGTTAAGAAGAGTCAGCACGTCTCGATCAACTGTTGACCTATTATCATTTAAAAGAGTATAGAGTGAGTTTAGTTCCTCCGGGTTTGCCTTCTTCAACAATCCCCTAAGTACTATATCGACTCTACCAGGCCTAGGATTGGCCTCGTGATTCCTTTCGATTGTTTGCAAGTTTTGACTAATTTGCGTCGATTGAGATAGTTGTGGATTGTGTACATGAGGCCGAGAATAGGGCCGAGAGTCCCAATACTCACAACATACTCGATTTTGATCGATCGCCTCAATGGCCTGCGTAAGTACAAAACAATGCACCAATATGAGAAGCCTATTCAACCATGAATCGATATTAAATATTTGGAACATGCCCACCGCAACAATGTGACCCGTGCACGAGGCACCTAGATACCGTGCAACCACTGGTGTTCGAGAGAGATTACTAAGTGACTAAAGAACGCGTTTAAGAAGTGATTTACCTGAACAATTGCCGGTGAGGTAAACCCGAACATTTCTAACCCATCTAAGCTCCCGGGAGGCTGTAGAGGAGGGAGATTTGTTCGACCCAACTTATGTTGCTTCGCGATTTCGTGATTGACTCGGTTTCTAACCAACTCCCAACATCTGCAAGCAGAGACATGAACGAATACCTCACTTGGACAATGCTCCAAAACAACCTGTAAAGAGATTAAAGAATCTAAGTATAATAGATATATCCAATGACAATCACAAAATGTAAACTTGAACTCAAGAAACAAGCAACAATCAGACAAGCAATACAAGACACTTGAGAGTGGAACTTGACTATAGTTAAAAGATAGAAAACAATGCCCTCTTAAATAGAATAATTAGCGACTACGACATAGATGATCACCTATGGCTTACTAAAACGTCGGTTGGGGAGGAGAACGAAGCATTCTTTATAAGGGTGTAGAAGCCTCCCCCTAACAGACGCGGTTTAAAAAAACATGAGGAGAAGTCCGAAAAGAAAAGCCCAAAGAGGACAATATCTACTAGCGGTGGGCTTGGTCTGTTACAAATGGTATCAGAGATAGACACCGGGAAATGTGTCAGCGAGGAGGCTGAGCCATGAAGGGAGGTGGACACGAGACGGTGTGCCAGCAAGGATGCTGGGCCCCGAAGGGGAGTGGATTGTGAGATCTCATATCGGTTTGGGGAGGAGAACGAAGCATTCTTTATAAGGATGTGGAAACCTCTCCCTAATAGACACGTTTTAAAGAACCTTGAGGGAAAGCCCAAAGAGTACAATATCTGCTAGCGGTGAGCTTGGACTGTTACAAATGGTATCAGAGTCCAACATAGGGCAATGTGCCAGTGAGGAGGCTGAGCCCTGAAGGGGGGTGGACACGAGGCGGTGTGCAAGTAAGGACGTTGGACCTCGAAGGGGGGTGGATTGTGAGATCCCACATTGGTTGGGGAGGAGAACGAAGCATTCCTTATAAGGGTGTGGAAACCTCTCCCTAGTAGACACGTTTTAAAAACCTTAAGAGAAACTCAAAAAGGAAAGGCCAAAGAGGACAATATATGCTAGAGGCTTCACCTTTCGGGCTTCCCCTCAAGGTTTTTAAAACGCGTCTGCTTGGGAGAGGTTTCCACACCCTTATAAAGAATGCTTCGTTCTCCTCCCTAACCGATGTGGGATCTCACAACTTCTCTCCATGAAGCATCCTCTATGTATCCACTCTTTGTATCCGAAGATATATTCAATGAGTTGAAATACAAGATCATACAAAAAGATATATTCAATGAGTTGTTTCCGAACGATGAACTACTCTCCTTTTTCAATCACGGTCGTACCGTATTGCGGACATTATCCCGAAAGGAGCTGACAAGCTAAGTCTAGAACGAAAAAGCCATCGAGAAAAGGATAAGGAAGTGAGGTGATGTAGAGAGAACGGAGGGCGCAACAAGAAATACAAAAATATACGTATAATCACACAAAGTCGTATAGTCTTCGCTCTAAGAAGTGACAAGAAAAAAAAAAGTACGAAGTTCAACGAAATTAACGCTAAATATCAAGGTTAAAAAATTTACCATGAAAAGAGGTCCATCCCGTCCAACATCGAGAATTTCAGAAACGTAGTAACATACAGTTGACGGATCTAAAACGCTTATATACTTGACCCGGCTCTTAAATCCTGCAAAATAAACATAAGTACGTAACGAGTGAAAGCGGGTCATAGTTAACACATCGAGGTAACAATCGATCTTTCAAAATCTAATGAAACCTGTAAAACAGAGATTTCAATACCTTTTGGAAAAATGGCCCGACTGTTCGACCAAGACTTTCCCGAGATCACGTTTCCATATTCTAAAGGCTCGACATTGCAGTTAATCCTCCGAACGACCTTCGCCATTCGAGGACCCTTTTGCCTCAAGAATCTGTCCACATTAGCACAAGAAGTAGCGCTTGTTCCGACGTTTCCCGGCTTAGCCTCGATCGGTTTTCCAGAGCCACACAATTGTGGTTTTTGAGAATCAGTGTCCGTTGAAGCTCGAAATAATATATTACTATGACCTAATCCGACTTCTGAAAAACTATTGTTCTGAACGGCATTAGCTGCATTTCTAACCGATAAGTTCACGTTTGAAGACTGTTTATGATTTAAAGGTTCAACGCTCGATTGACAACTATTCGATGTCCTGTCTTCCTTTTCGACCATGGTTGTTGCATCGGTCA